TTTTTAAGATTTGTTTGTTTATTCATACAGCACTGGGGTATAAGCCAGAGGTGCAGGGGCAGTGAGAGGATTCACCAGAGACAGAGTGGGAAGCAGAAGAGTCAGTCGATGACACTGCTGAGGGGAGCAGTGGGCAGGTCAGGAGAGGTCTGCTGCGTCATAGGGTGACCTCTGGGGCTGGGGATAGAACTTGCACTGAAGTGGTTGCAGCCAGCTTGCCGTGCTGCGTCCTAACCTGTTGCGCCACCAGGGAGGGCCAAACTTTTTTTTTTTTTTAACCTGCAAATGATCCTGTTTGCAGCAAGATGTCGAAAATTAACTGGCTTACTTAGTGATTTCTAGAAATTGAGAGAATACAATCAGTGTTATAGATGATGTAACAAGCAATCTATGTATGTGTATGCAAATGGTTCTTAAACATGTACAGTTTCACTAAAATTTAGGAAAAAAACAAAACAATACAATGACTTATTAATAGTCCAGTTGACACACTTGGGTTGTATGGCTGCTGGTAGGGATGGAAGAAAATATGCTTTCAGAGGTTGCTTGTAAAATATGACATTTTTTAAACCTTTTCAGATAGCTATCTGACCTCTGGGGAATGTAAGAAAGATATTTCTGACCCAGAATTTTCACCCCCAGTAATTTATCTCATAGAAATTAAAACATCAGATTGAAATAATATATTAAAATGTTTTTCCTACGTTATCATTAACAAAAGAGGAACAAAGAATACCTTTCACAGACTGGCAAAATATATAGTAATCTTGTCATGGAGTACTAGTCCTTCATTGAAAGAATTAGCCTACCATAAACTTAAACAAATTTCTGTCAAGTATTTTATGAGAAAAGCAAACTATAAAGAAGCCTGTATAACTGGTATTCTTTTGGAATCTTAGTCGGGAAGCCCCTTTATGCACACATATATGCCCTATGTGGGATTATTTGAGAAAATGTAAAAAGGTATAAAAGATACCTATCTAGTTCTTAATTTGGGTTACAGTATAGTACGGTGGTGACAGAATTGCCGTGGGGTGTGGCCAGAATGCATGAGATGCTACAAAGTTACATGTATGTGCAAATATTGCAGTTGTGGAAAATTATAGGGAAGAAAGGGAGCTTATTATTTCTTGAGGACAATAAGGTGACCTGTCTGGTAATAGCTCAGGTAAAATTCACACACCCATCTAGTTTATATAGCAGGAAAAAAGGCATTGAAGGGAAACTCCTCAGATTGTTTTGGAGTGGGAAGGGATGACCAGCTTTTTTATCTGTAGATTGTTTCATAATAATGTAGTCGATAAGTTGAAAAATGAGCTTGATACCTCCCCCCTTGTATTCATTTGCACTTGGCAAATGCGTAAGAAAATAGTTTTTATTGTATATGTTGTCTTGGTTTTGATATCACACTTATATTTTTAAAAAAATTAAAAATGCAATTCCAAAACAGTTTTAAGAAATTTACACTTTTTTTGAGTAACTATTAATAGAATCAAGTGCTTTCATCTTGTCTATAGGGAAATCATTGAAAGTTGTTTAATTAACATTTCATATACAGATCATGATGATACCATATTTAGTCTTACCAGGTTGGTAGACTTGAGTTGGCAAATTATGTGATTAACAGAGTCAGAAGACCAATGCTAGACTTGGAAAAAGTTATTTGCAACATAGGTGGGGTAAATAAAGTACAATATGCAAAGAACTCTTACCAGTTGAGAGGCTAATTCAGCGTGCAGATGATATCATAATGCTTATCAATAACTAACTGAATATGTTGATACTTAATAAAAATAAGAGTTTTTTTTTAATTTGTAAGCTGATGTACAGGTGAGAAAGTGCATTTTCATTTCTGAAAAGATGTACTTGTTCCTGGCATTGCTTCTTACAGTTCAGCTCTTCTTGGGCTTACAATGCAGCCATGTGGCCTGGACATAGCTTGCCGCATACGCTGCAGCAAGAGCGCTCACTGGGAGGCGTGTGTCAGCCCACAGCTGTTTCACACGCTCCATGTAAAGACCCCCACATTAGTATTTCAGTAGCGCTCATACACAGTCACACACAGACCCAGAGCAACTGGTGTGGCCTCAGGAAAACCAAGAAGCAAATCTGAAAAGCGTGATGCACCAGGCACCTAATTCCAGCCAAGCTTGTTTGCCTACTTAAAAGAGTTCTTTTCCTCCTCTTGTCTCCAGAACACCTCCAGGAGCAGAAGTGTTCTGTGCTTTACCTAGTTTCCTTCAGGTGGACTGAGAAAATCTGTGTGGTTCACATGAATCTGAGAGGCGTTGCAAGCTGAGCCTTACATACACTTTCTGCAGCCAAAAATACTCTTTGAAGATTTGGGGAATAGTGATTTCCTGACCTTGTGTGACTTTTTTTCAGAATAGGGGGCTTCTAGCACAGCATTTATGAATCACTCCACAACTCCACTTGTCTCAGCTGGGATGAGCACACAGCGTGCTGTACGGTGCCTTGGTGGGCAACAGGCGGTGCCATTTGCATTAGGTCGATAAAACAACTGTGGTGACTCTTCATTTAAAACCAGGGATTGTGTTGTGGGTAGACAGTCATAATGTCATCTGTATGATTGAAATAGAACCAGGGCATATCACCCTCAGTTCCTGGCACAGGGTGTTTTCTCTCTGTGTGAAGAGAAAAAGGAAGCATAGAATTCAGGATAATGAGTCTCAGAGAAACTCCAAGAGAAGGGAATAATTGATCTGTGCTGTCAGCCTGAAAATTCAGATTGCTGTTCTTCTCTGTTTCTGCCTGGAGGAATACCTCCTTCAGGCAGTCTCATTAGGGAAGTCTTTGTTTCTCCCCAGTGAGGGAATGAAATTTTAAAATATAGAAATGGATCCTTTTCAGCATAAATTCATTATAATTTTAATCTGTGATCTAATTTTCTGTTATCAAATGTTAATTGTTTCAGTAGTGTCTATAAATAATACTGCAGAAGATTGAGTATATTCTCTGACAATGTTAGGAGCTGCTGTTGCCTTTGATGGGCTGCTGCTGGCAGCCAGGCTAAAGAAAGGGAGAGCCTGGGCGCTGGAGTTGCCCTCTCTTCTTTGCTTTCTGGGTGTGTTCTAGAATAGATCATTGGCAGAGGCTCTGGCCTCTTCATAAATGACCAGTTTCTATGTCTTCATAAAACCCGGCAAAGAGATACATGCATCACAATGAGTACAGGCTATTTCTGGGTGGGATTGATTGGCAGTCCGGCGGTGGCTTCTAAACTGAAAGCTATAAAAAAGTTTGGGTGTCCCTTCTTTGCTGCCTCCAGCCTATTTCCTGCTGTTCTTGCCTTTACATTTAATGTAAGTATTGGTGGGGGGCAGACAGGTGCATCCGGATCTTCTCTGAGTCTTCACAAAGTTCATTTTGGACTTGCAACTTCCTGGGTATATATTGTATTTCTAATTGATTTTTTTTTTCATGGAAAAGAAATTTTTTTTACCTCTCTAAAACTATATTAGATGTATGTACAATGATAGGTAATGGCCCAGGTTCTATAGCAGGACTCCATTGTTCATGTCACAGAAATTGATGATCTTGGATTGTGGAGAATGTGATTTAAATACCATCTGTGGCCACTTACCCAGCAGATTGGGTGGAGGACAGATCTGCCAAATGAGCAGTGTGTGTTCCTGAAAGGAAAAAGAAACACGGATTTTACCATGGAGGATTTTAAAATTATTTAGAAACGTAAACTTGTATAAATGTCTCTAATGCAAAAAGGTTTGTAGATTCTTTACAAGATAATTTTTTCCTTAATACTTTCTTTAAAATTTTGGTGACATGGGTCTGTTTTGGAAAAGCACCGCTCCTTGTCATAGCCTGAGATAACAAAATAATGCATTATTGCAATTCTGCTTTAAAAAGTTGTTTGGAAAATTCTTAACCCTTCCCTACTCCCACCCCCGCCCCCGCCCCCGGCAAAACTGGGAC